TCACATCACATTGCCAGATCAAAAGCGGCGGAAGAAGGCACAGGTTCCTATCTTTGTCCAGGTTTTGCATTTGGGGAGGGCAGCGCCCCAACCCCTTCGCTGTCATTTTACAAAGCACATTCGCGCAATCATTTGTCATCGTGTTCCTCACCATGACTTTTTCACGAACTTCCTCTTGATTTATTCATCAGTTTCATTAGTTTTCACATTCACGTCACTTGTCATGTTTCTCATCATGTTCGTCAATTTTCATAATCGTCAAGTTTTTATCGTTCGAATCATTTTTCATCATGTTCATCCCTTTCTCATCATCAATCACATCACATTGCAAGATCAAACGCGGCGGAAGAAGGCACAGGTTCCTATCTTTGTCCAGGTTTTGCAACTGGGGAAGCTGAGGCCCCAACCCCTTCGCTGTCATTTTACAAAGCACATTCGCGCAAGTATCTGTCATCATGTTTCTCACCATAATTTTCATGAGTTTCCTCTTTGTCTACTCCTCATTTTCGCCATTTCCTGGTTGTCATCAATTTTCATAATTGTCATACTATACATCATTTTCGTTATTGTTCATCATCTTTCATTGGTTTTTCATGACGTCTCGTGATTGCTCATTTTTTCCATATGCTCTTCCATGGCTTTCATGATTTTTCCACATCCTTCATGATTTTTCATATGTTCCGTACTTTTTCAATATATTACCTTTCATCCTTTTCAGTTGACAGTGTACATCGTGTATCATGGGTGTCTAGTTGGGAGGGGCTCCAACTGAGACAGTTCCCATCATTTTCATGATTTTTTTACTCATTTTGCAACATTTCATGAGGCTTCATAATTTTCATTTTTTGTCGTCACATTTTTCTGTATTTTTAATGCTTCTCATGATTTTGCATCATGTGTCATTATTTCTCATCGTTTCCTAATTTCCTTGAGTTTCCTCATTTCACGATCTTCCATCACTTTCACTATTGTTCATGGTTGATGGTGAGTTTTCATGAGTTTTCATAATTTCCAATCATGTTGCATAATTTGTCATCATTTTCAAGCATTCCTATGATTTTTCACGAGTCCTCATGTTTTCTCACATTTTTCGTCATTTCCTATGATTTATCATCGTTATCATTATTTCCATTATCTTTCATCAGATGTTTCATCACTGCTTTTTTTGGGATTTTCCATCATATTGCATCATTTTTCAAAAGGTTGCCACATTTTTCAGCCTGACTTCTCATCATGTTTTAGATTTTCATCATTCCTCATAATTTGTTCAACATTTTGCATGGTTGTGCGTCATTTTTTGTAATTTTCATTTTTGATCATGTTTGATGGTCTATTCATCATATTTTTTAAAGGTTTTTCATGGTTGTGCCTCATTGTTCACCATTTTCCATGTTTTCATGATATTTTAGTGTTTAGCATCATTTCGCCATGTGTCATCATCTTCATTGCTCTTTCATATTTTTCAGGATACATAATCAACTTTCATCAACTGTCAGGTTTTTTTATTATCAATACTCGTTATGTTTCATCCTTATGCATGAGTTTCATGAGTTTTCAGCCGCTTTTTTTTAGATCCCCGGATTTCGCTTCGTTCTACTACGCCAGGCACTTTGTGTTTTTTGGATGTTTATTTGTTTCATTATGATCCTCAGATTTTGCTTATTGATCCCTGTTTGATTTTCTTGAATCAACTGTAATCTACTGTTTGGGGTTTAGGTTTAACGGATCTGACCCCAATACTGGAGAAACAAATGGAAGCTTATGCAGGGTTCATGAAAAAGAAAATTGGACCAACTGCAATCTACGGTGTGGGGTTAGGGTTTTCGGATAATATCCCAACACTGGAGAAGCAAATGGAAAAAGAACATGGCAAATGACATGGTGACTATGTGGGCTTATCGGGGAATAGGTCTGAGCAAGAATTCAATGGAACATGCAGTGGCAACTGGATTTATATGGTAGTTCCCTCAAATAGGGGACCCCAATAAAGACCCGAAAATACTACACCTTATGATAGGAACCCATATACGAGGTTCCCCTAATTTTGGGAAACCCTAAACCCTAAACCCCAATCCCTAAACCCTAGAAACATTAAATAGTAGTTTCCATTTTGCTTTCTATTATCCACATATAATCCATATACAATATTTTAATAGTTTCCATTTTGTTTTCCATTATCCCAACCCTAAACCCTAAAGCCCAATATACTAAAGTAGTTGCCATTTTATTTTCCATTATCCCAACAAAACCCCAATATAACTGACATCAAAAGGGAGGGATGGAAATGCAGCGCTGGGCTTGTTGGCGTTGGCCTTCCGACTCCACGTTGTGACTGAGGGGGGAACGTGATGATGAAGGGCTCATATAGGGGTATAGGGGCTATATAGGGATATTGGAAAAGGAAATAGAAACTACTTTCTTGTTTGGTTGGTTGATTTTTTCTGAGTTCAGTCATTTTGTAAGGTAGGAAGTTTGTCAATCCCACGGCCCTTCTGCGCCGCTACTATGACCAGCCCTACATAGACCATTGTTTTTGGATTTGCCTAGCCTACGTCTCTTCCACCCTTGCTACGCCAAATAGTTGAAGTTTGCCTGCTGGGCAGAGGTCATCGTTGGGAAAAACGTCGATGCCAGCCTTGTGCTATCTATGGCTGTCGTCATAGACGAAACTGGGTTGCTGTTAAGAAACTAAAAAAGTTACCATAATGGGTTTACATAGCAATGAATATGGTACCCCCATCATAGTAGCTTAATTCACGTTCTTTAACAGCAGCCCAGGAAATCCATGATGAAGAGAATCCCCAGGAGGGAGGGGAAGGCCTGTCTGACATGCTCGAGGATGCCCGCGGGTTGCCAATGCCAAAGTCAGCCAACCCCATGATTCCTTCTGGCAGAGCTCCCTTGGATGCCGAGTTGTTGCATACAACTACAACAGCGTACGAGCTCGAGGAGAAAGGTCTTTCCATGTCTGGGGAGGACTTCGAAGTCAAGAGCCCTGTGGGGCAAGTGCTTTTACGAATTTCGGGAGGCAATCGTTTGCCACTCGGTGGCATGCCAGTGTGGGACAAGCTGACCATCTCCACAGCATCCGGTGGTGTTGTGGCCATCTTGGATCGTGAAATGGTCGCAATGACGCCGACCTACGATGTGATGCGCCCAGATGGTTCCAAATTTGGAAGGATCTCGAAGGCAATGTTCGGTCTAACCGAAACTTTTGAATTTTATTTGGAAGGTGATGGTGGCGGACCCATCCTCAAAGCTGAGGGAAGCTTCAGTGAAAGAAGCTTTGAGTTCAAAAGCCGTGATGGCTCTACAGTGGCCACGGTTGGGCGCGGCTACTATCAGACAGACAATGAGAACAGATATCATGTTGTCGTGGGAGCCCAGGTGGATGCCACGCTCGTTGTGGCCATGGCCTTCGCTATTGATGAGGTACATGATGAAGAAAATGCAGCTGAGCAGCCAGAGGGTGAAGGGGGAGGTTGGCCATTCCGGTAAGGACCTGAAGCATCCGAGATTTTCCAAGCAAAGATATGTTTAATCATCCACATTTGGACTGCTCAAAGCTTAGCACAAATGATAGCGAGTAGTGATGGCGTGCTCGACAAAAAGATTATAGCTATTCTTCTTGTCATTATTGTTCTTACTATACAGTGGCCACTACACTGCTACCGCTGCCACTACCACGACCACCACCACCATCGACCAGCTAGCATTGCTACTACTGCTGCTGCTGCTGCCACCACTACTACTACTACTACTACTACTACTACTGCTACTGCTACTGCTACGGCTACTGCTACGGCTACTGCTACTGCTACTGCTACTGCTACTATTGCTCTTGCTGCCGCCGCTGCTGCTGTTGCAACATGTAGTACCGCTACTGCCAGTACGATGACCACTACTAACAGACTTCGGGAATCTTGGGAATTGAGTTGAAGCTTGCCTCTCGGTGGATTCTGCTGTGCGGCAGTTCCGGGCCATGGCCGACGACGCGGAGACAATACCGTGCCCTGGCTATATGGTAGTTTCCATAAGGGCCCAATATTGGAGAATCAGATGGAATAGAACATGTAGATTGAAGAAACTGAGCTAAGTAGCGATTTCTAGGGTGTTCCTTGCGATGGGACCCCAAAAAAGAGATTTTGACTTTCGGAACCCCTCACCATATCGTAAGTGAGTGTAAGATTTTGTTCAGCTGCTTGCCCAAGGATGGACGGCTCAGGGCAGCCAGCGCCGCCTGCCTCCGAGAAGAAGGACCCCCTGGCAAACCGATTCTGTACAGGGCTGTTCGTTTGCAGCTGGAATTTTGTTGTCCCGGATAGGTTGCTCATGTTGGTATTTATGATGCGAGGAAGAACCGGAGAAGAAGAAACGGGGCAGGCCGAAGGACGAAATGCATGAGCTTCGGTGACCCAGCTCATGCTGGTTGATGTGGTTCTTTTAAGAATTCAAGGGTTTGGGTCCCGTGAACCGGCCCAGCTTTCGCAGGATGAGCTTGCACCGCCAAAGCCAAAGACCCCAAAGATGATTGCCCGCCCCTCAAAGATCTCCTGCCTTAAAGCAATGAAATGTGTGCGTGTGTGCTGGTCGAAGCTGCATGGACAGGTCACTGCTCCAGCTCGAGAGCGGCTTAGACTAGAGAGGCTGGTTCGGGAAAACTGGGAATATGCCGACGAGATTGTGTGATGCCGTGGTGGCAGAAGAACATGTGCTGTCTTCTCTGTTGGCTTGTTATTGACCAATACAGGCCAGAGCTGGCTGCAGATCTCAAAGGCATGATGGCTGCCTTGAATGAGGTGTGGGAGCAGGCCAGGGTTTCGTGGTGCTAGAAGCCGGCATGGGCATGCTTATGGTGTCGTTGTGAGGTGCCCCAGGAAGAAAAAGACAGGATGGACGCTGAGCAAAGCCCTCAGCCTGGGCAGAGGTAAGAGACACTCTAAGAGTGTCATGGCTGGTTGCATGAGAGCATACGAGCTATTTCAGGTATAAAAAGGAGATGGAGATCTGGCAGCCGAAGTGGGAAGCATACAAGAAGACCGCATCCTACAAGGAGTTCAAATGCAAAAAGCAGGCTCTGACAGGGAAGTGACTGTGTTTTACACCTACCCAGTGGTTTGCCATGTGCGCAGTCAGCCTGCAGGACTACCTGGATAGGAAGGAGAAGCGGAAGTTCCTCAAAGCAGCTGCCAAAAAGGCACCGAAGAAGCCGGACACTGACCGAAATGGCCGGCCTGGTCAGAACAGTGGCGGGTCAATCTTTGGTTCCACTCAAGGCCAAAATCTGGCTACATGCTCTTCTCCAGCGAGATCCGTGAGAAGGTCAAGGAGGCCAGTTCTGGTACCTCACGTTGGGCATCCTTGTCATGCTTCCCCTGTTCAGGAAGTCATGGCCGCTGGAGGGGGACTCGCAGACATCGGGAGAAAGATAGCAGACAATTGGAAAGAGCAGTGGCCTTGACAACATGAAAGACATCATGACGTCGACGCTGTCTTGTGCTAGCTGACATGTCAGGCTTCCGGAGACAAAGAAAGCGGAATATGATGAAACTTCCAAGTCACAAAAGGAAGTGCACCTGAGCTGAATCTTTCAGCCACAGCATGTCACAAATCCGTCTGGGTTTGAGATTGGACAAAACCTCGGCTTTTTTGAGGTTTCAAGTCGAGTATGCTGAATACAAGAAGACGGAAGACTTCAAGGTGCCAGCGCTCAGACGTTCAAATTACTGCATGACAAGCAGCTGGCGGTGCGCTGAAGAGGATTTCCAAAAGCAAAAGGCAAAGCTGGAAGGAAAGCACGAGCTGAGGAAACTTCAGCTGAACACCTACAAGGACATGTTTAGCCACAGAAACGCCTGCAACAAGAAGCGTAACTTAGGCAATACATTATAGTTTCCATTTCATGTTGAATTATTCCTGGATATCCCGATATAATCCCGCGTACTCCAGCAGCAAAAAATCCCGCGTACTCCCCGAATCAGCTAAATTGTGTAGTTTCCATTTTATCTTTTGTTCAATTTTTCGCGTGATTCTCCATTATGGGGTTCATATCCCCAAGCCCTGAACCCTAAATAGTAGATTCAATTTTCTTTTCCATTATCTGTATACCAAGCCAGCAAGCCAGGAAGCGCCTGACAAGCCCAAGGGTCCCTTTGCTCTCTACAAAGCGCAGCACATGAAGCGGGTCATGGAGGACTCTGGGTAAAATGGGGGGGTTTCCTGAAATTAGATGGTCCCGTTTCATGAGAGCGTCCTTTGAAGCAATTGGTTTTACGCTCAGCTATGCCATGCTGATCTGTCCTACGGGTGTGTGGGGGAGGGGAACCCCAAAATGTGGTCAAATTTGGCAGAAATACCTTAGTACATTAGAGTAGTTTCCATTTTCTTTTCCCTGATCGCAATATTAACCCCAGTATAACCCCAACATTACCCCTACCTGCGTTTCTTGCCTGTAACCGCAATGGACGTTTTCTGATGCTGCCGAAGCCGGCCGCGTGGTATGTTTTGGGCACAGCGGACTGATATTACCCCAATAATAGAGAATCAAATGGAAAAGAACAATGGAAAATGAAATGGAAACTGGGATTAAATAGGGGTTATCTTGGGGTAACAATAGTATTAGGGTTATGTTGGGGTTATATTTGGCATGTGCAACTTTTCAGCCGCACTGGATCGGGTTAGCCTGCCGCGAGTTTCGCAGTCAGTTTCATGATCGCGGATCTTTGCAACACTGCCGCCCAACTCCAACAATCATCGCCATGGCCCTGGTCTGTTCGCTGCGGATGCAGCCGCCCTGGACACCTTAAAAACAAACCTACCTTTTGCATGCTGCGCACCAGCCCAGAGCCTGCTCCTGCCTCCTTTGAAGCTTCGGTCCTCCTCCCATGGGTGCAAGTCGAGGGTCACCATAGCAAGGATTGTAATGATTTGGGGTAAGCCGCACAGCCATACAGCTCCTTGTAGTTAGTAGCTTATACAATGCAATGCCCTGTCAGGAGAACAAGGGAGCGACTGCTGCTGAACTCAGCAGCTCGGCCATTCGGGGCCACGGAGAGACTTTGCGAGAGGTCTCTCTAGTTTCAGTCCATTTTGATCCTAAGGCAAGCTCCTGACAGATTTATGGAAGAAGGCTGAGGCAGAAGAAAGAGCTCCCTTTGAGCAACAGGCCCGGTGGAGCAGACTTCGTCGAGCGCACCCGCCCGTGAGGGAAATGCGCGTGCAAGATTTGGTAGTTTCCCAAAATAAGGGGACCCCAATATAGACCCGAAAATACTATAATCCTTATTATGGGGACCCCCAAAAAGGTACCCCTAATTTTGGGAAACTCCCATTTAGCGCACATTTGCAGGCCGCCGCTCTCAAGAAGGAGTACTTGCAGCGACTCAGAGAGCAAAGCCTGCAAGTCTCTTGTGGCCGCTCTTCCTTTCCTTCTTTGTTAGGCAAGTGGTCGAATTCAAGCGGAAGCAGGCTAGGCGAGAACAAGCTGCCAGCTTGCTCTGCAGAAGACTGAATGCAGCACAGTACTTTTTGATAGTAAAAATCCTGCATGAATATACTATACTACAGTACCAAAATTCTCAAGGTAGACGGTACTTGAGGTCATGCAGGATTTCTAGTATCCACCGTAGGCAGTATCCTGGCCGCGAGGTCTATCTGAAATTCCTGCAGCAGCGCATGGCCTGCAGAACCAAGGCATCTGGGCAAGATCCTGCTAACAAGCAGCCTGCCCTGTTCCAGGAACTAGCCCTGTATTACCCCTACCTAACCCCTATATTATCCTTATGTAACCCCAACATTGCTCCTATAGTGCCCTTATATTACCCTATATATACCTCATGCTACCCCTATGTAACCCTAGCATTGCTCGCCCTCATATTACCCTATATCACCCCTATGCAACCCCTACATTGCGCATATATTGCCCTATGAAACTCTATACAAGCCCTATCTTGGCAAAGGCCCCTTGCACCTGCCCACCATTCAGCTTGTAACCTCCTAAACCCTAAACCCTCTGGCCGCAACAGTAGGGAATAGTGGAATATGTGAGACAGGGAGCATGAGGGATTGTATTTCCCGATCCCTACTACCTCCAGTAAGAAAAGGAGAATCGGCGAGTTCACTTGAACGACATGCCCAAGAGGCCGAAAAGTGTCCCTGTGCTGCATGATGGCCACGACCTGGTGACTCAAGACGTAATTTTGAGTGACCCTTGGATTCCAGATGGCTTAGGGAACCTACTTGTAGAGAGTTACTTTGAGGTTACAATCGGCTCATTATTGCCTAGCTCCAGTGGTCCAGGGTACCTGAAAGGACTGACTGTTAATAGGGCATGAAGGAATAGATCCCAGCAGTAGCCTTTAAATCATCCGAGATAAAACAGTACTTTCCGTTTTCGTTTCCATGCCTTCGTTCCCTACAACAACCAGCAAAATATCGAAAAGCCGTATTCTGACAGGCTCGGGCCAGTACAGATTCGCATGTGGAGTGTGCGTGGATCGATCATTCTTTATCCGATGATGTTCATAAACCCAGGGCTCCGTGTGAAACGAGAAATCAAGACCTTGCCAACACTCAGAAAAGGCTGCCGAGGTGCTGTCTGGGAACATCCAGTTGTTTGTTCATCCTGTGGTGCAGCCTTGCCAGTCCACGACAGGGCTTCCTCTTGTAGACTGAGCAGGAAGTTGAATGGAGCTTTCCGGCTCCTGCCGTGTCAGCTTATGTGGAGGGCCTGTGTCTGTCCACTCTTTCAGCTCTGCAAGCATTTGTCCCCAAATGAGTAGTATTTTATTTGGGGGTGCTAGAATACCCAGTATAGAGTAAGATTATATCCTCCTTTTGGGGTATAGTATTTTATATAGGGAATTTAATCTTATGGGGTTGAACCACCAAAAAAACGCTACTCTACTCAAACGCAGTTATGCGTCCAGCATACCTCCATGGTCGACGTTTGCCTGCATTTATGGAATCATGGAAGCCTGTTGTGCAGGTGAGAGCACCTGGCCGTAAAGACCTTGCTGTGCCATCTAGAGCAAGGAACAGGCACTGAGCTGTGACAAAATGCAACGCAAGCCTCACAATTTTGATGTGGAGTTCATTTCCTCTACCGGAAAAACCGCTTTTGTCCCATTGAAGCTGGAAGCTTGACACAATCGACCTCTTCGCACGTGTGTCGAGCAGGATTTCTGATATGGATAGTATCGCATGATATGGACGGGTACGGCTGCTGCCATCAGCCTTCAGCCTTCAACCCAAACATTCTGACAGTGTTGTGAATGTGGCGGCTAGGGTCTTCGGTATTGAGTGTCATCCTTCTTGCTGTTTCTACAAGGTTGATAAATGATGATAAATGTAACCTCGTGTGTTCAATCCATTGCCCACACGGCCGAGGTTTACGCCCTGTTCAGGGATGACATCAAGGACGAGGTGCCCAGTGGGAAGGGAGAAGGCGCCCGAGCTGCAGTTATTTGAGCTCAAGGGTGTCACACACACCCATGGTGCTGGTGGGATCTTAGACCAGCGTACACTTCAGGCAAAGGCATGAACTTTGTGAAGAACAAGTTTCAAGAAATTGATGAGACAGAGAAGCTTGGCAGCAGCTGTGAACTTTAGACTGGCCTGCAGCTTGTCTGAATAGTTTGATGAGCGCAGGAAGAAGAAATACTTGGACATGGAAGCAGAACTGAAGCAGAAGTACAACGAGGACGTGAAGACCTACAAGGAGGGTGAGAAGTACAAGGCCATCTTGATTGCTGGGTTTGCGTCCCAAGCAAATTCCCGTTGTGCAAGGGCCAGGAGGCAAAGGTCACCAGGGTTTGTGCTACGGGTCTGTGAGGTCCTGGGTGGATAGGAGTGGACGTATTTCTTTTCTTTGTGACCTGCTTATATTGTAGCATGCGCCACGTGCTACCCTTAACAGGAATTTGAGAAGACAACTGGCAAGATCAAGAAAGAACTGATGACAGAAGCCATGAAGGCTGGCAGAAGGGCCGGTGAAGCAAAGTGGAAACATTTGGGGGTCTCCCAAAACTAGGGGTATCTCCTTTTCCGGGGGTCCCGAAAATAAGGATTATGATATTTTGGGGTCTATATTGGGGGACCTATGTTGGGCAACCACCATTTCAGAATCCAAAGGGTTTGAGCTTTGACACGGCTCAGGTCATGACTTTGAAGTTCCTCAACGATGCACCTGCTGAGCCGCCAAAGAGCACCTTTGCCATCTTCGTTGGTGAAAAAAGGCTGGCCGTGGGACCCTAAACCCTAAACTCTTCCCCTTTCATCCGTGCAGACATCAAAAGAAGTCGGAGGTGTTTAAAAACAATTCTAAACCCCTAAGCCCTAAACCCTAAAGCCTCAACCCAAAACCCTAAATAGTAGTTTCCATTTTCTTTTCCATTATCCCTATATAACCCCAATATATACCCTATAATCCCTTTTGAACCCATTATAGTAGTTTCCAGGCCAGCCTAAAGCTCTTTGCTTTCTGAGGCGCCTGTCCGAGGAATCCAACGGAGCACCTCCAAAGAAGAGGAGTCGTGAGGAAGCCTTTGCAGAGGTCTAGGGCTTAGGGCTTAGGGTTTAGGGTTTAGGGTTTAGAATGGTTTAGAGTTTAGAGTTTAGGCCCAACATTGTGGTAATTTCCCAAGATAGGGGGGCCCCAAAATAGACACCAATCTATGTAATTTGGGTACTGCCACCCCCCCCCTCAGTAACAGTTGGATAATAAGTATAATATGGTTATATATAGCCCTTAACAGGACCCCTAATATAGACTGTTGTTGGCTGGGGGCAGTGCCCAAACTATAATCCTTGTTATAGGGACCTCCCAAAATGGTACCCCTAATTTTGAACCTTAAATGGTCTCGTTTCCATTTTCTTTTCCACTATCCCTATATAACCCCAAGATATAGTAGTAGTTTCCATTTTGTTTTCCATTATCCCAACCCTAAACCCTAAAAAAGCCCAACATACTGAAGTAGTTTCCATTTTATTTTCCATTATCGCCATATTGTCCCTATATACACCCTTTAACGATTATGGGAACCCTCCCCACTGTAACGCTGCCAGCAGTCTTTGAAGAATGCCGTTTTGGAAATAAGGGAATGTAATGGGGATAGTGGAAAAGAACCTGGAAAACTACTACATTTAGGGCTAGGGTTATATTGAGATTATATTGGGATAATGAAAAAATGGAAACTACTACTATATATTGGGGTTATATAGGGATAATGGAAAAGAAAATGCAAACTACTCTTAGGTTGCGAAGTTCAAGGAGGAATGGAGAAAGCTTGACAAGGCTCGCTTGGGCCCATGATCCAGACTTTAGCCAAGTAGGTTGCATCCGTCATGTGGCAGGAAGCCAAACATGTCTATGACGAAAAGCGCCAAGAGCGATTCACGGCATGGAAAGAGCAAGTCAAGGAGTACATGGAGCAGCCAAAATGGAAGGCCGCTCTTTCAGGGACTTGATGCTAGCAAGCCATCAGACTGAGATGGTCAGCCAGCGACTTCTGTCAGGAATACATTGAAGAAGCCAAGATGCTCAAACTGCCGGTGAAAAGTTTGTTGTCCAAGAAGAAGATGGCGTAGCTGGGCTATGGTTTGCTTGCCTTTCCCTGCACCAAAAGACTGTCGGCCCGACATGCTTAGGATCAAAAAGCTGAAGAACGGCATGAAGATCCAACCCTTGCCGGAGAAGCCAGAGAACTTCCCCACCAAACCGCCCAATGCCAAGCGCATCTTCTGCTCAGAGAAAAGGCTGGTTGTTGCTTCCTTTCATTGGACTCACTATTCATGCCACGAAACAGAAAAGGAGACTAGTACCAGCAAGAATTGGAAACGCCAAACTTATAGAAATCACAGAATTTGTTGGGCAGTCATGAGCATTATTATTGTTACGGCGGTCTTCGTCGTTGTGTGCTTTTCCTGTAATGTCTCATAGGCCATTTGGCTATCACTGTGGTCGCCAAGGTGTTTTATGCTGTCTCTCTCTCTCTCTCTCTCTGGCTCTCTGTTTCTGTCTGGCTGATCCTGCAACAGCAGGCGGTCCTTGCGTCATTGCTCCGGCAAATACCTATCTCTTTCTGTTGCTGCGTTGGTTCCCACCAATGCTGTCATTATGGCTGCGTTGCAGTTCTACTACCTGCTACCTTCTCGAAGGAACGAAGTGGAAGATCCATCAAAGCTGCTGGAGATGTGGGCTTCCTTGTCGGAAGAGGACATCGCCATGTGAGCAGCATTAGCGCATTGGCATGGAGCGCTGGCCCTGTACATGTGAGGAACGGAAGGTTTACGATGGAAAGGAACAGGATCTTCTGGCACAGTACCGTGAGGACGTGCAGGCTTTACCGACATTCATCTCCATGCTTTCTTTCTTCCCTCCGACAACCATTCATTTGTCAAGCTTCACACCTCCCACATCTGGTGACCTGTTGCGTTGGGTTGGTATGTTGACCGGGTGTGTGTGTGTGTGTGTGTGTGTGTGTGTGTGTTCGTCTGTGTCTATATTGCCTTCTCCTCCTACATGCCCCCATCTTGTTTGCACACCACCGTGCTGTTCATGATATACAAGGCTTTCGAAACAAGCGACGAGGGCAAGGAGTATCTCAAGAAGTTGACGCAGGTGCGGAAGAGCAATGCGAGTCTTGGCTGAATATCTCAGAGCCACGAAACATTTGTGGATGACCTGAGCTCAGAAGCTGCTTCTCGAGGCATTCACAATGTACATAGCCATCATGACTATAATATGTTACAATATACTCTACTGTATTATATTATGCCATAGACGGCATGCCCATTTTGCCCCATGTGGTTGGCAGTGCCAGCCCAGCAAGAGTTTCCAAGGATTGCATCAGCAAAAGACAAGTATTTGGTGGGTATGCCGAAGAAGCCGAAGGGAGCGATTCAGCTTTTCTTGCAGGAGAAGTTGAAGGAAATCAAGAAGGTTCGGGATGGGCTCTTTCGGCTGCGTGTTTGGTTGGTGGCTGCTTAGGCCAAGCCGGACTTGAAGGGTCCAGAGCTGAAGAACGAGGTTCGTGAAGCGTGGTGGCTCGGCGTAGAGCTTCAATGACCGGCAGCGTTTGGTTGGCATCCATGCAAGGAACGCATGCCAAGAGGAGGAGAAAAAGATTTATCAGGATAAAGCTGACGGCCTCATGGGCGATTACGAGGCTGTAGTGTTGTGAGCAATCCACAGCAGCAGAAGGGCAGAAAGGTGCTCGTGGTCAATTTGCCCTTGGCAGGAAAAGCTCAAAGAGTTCAGGGAGACTGAGAACTTCAAGAAGTATGCTTTGGAAGTCCGCAAGCTTTCCAAGAAGAAGAAGCCAGTTGCAGGCCGCAAAGACCAGGGACTAGTCTACAGGTAATGTAGAGTCAAAACGAGCTGGTGGTCACCATGGCTATGGCCATGGTACATGACATAATCATCAAGACAAGGCACCAAGCGATCTTCGTTTTGGGCTATGTACGTGCTTTGCTTTGCAGGAAGCATTCCTACACTCTCATAATGGATAACCGGGAAAGGTTGTCAGTGTGCAAATCGCCCCCTTGTGGCTGCCCATCGACATCACAACAACGAGGAAACACATCTGGGACAGATCCGAACAGCCAACAGAGTGGAAGGGCCTATCCCTAGACGCTGAACCCTAAAGTTAATGTGAGCTCTGGTCTGAACTTGTTAAAGGGAGTTACAGAAGCGGTTATATAGGGGAGTGTTATAGGGGTTATTAAGTGGAATCCTAGGAGTTTAGACTTTAGTTCATGTTGAGCTGGCAGGGAAAGCCAAAGGAAAGGGGTCCGGAGAGCCCGCGAAGCCAGCATCAATGCCACGCACTTCGGCTGCAGTTGCAAGCCTCACCCAGTGGTTCAGGCATTGCATTTCCCGAGTCAATTGGTGTTCGATGCTCCGACTCTTAAGAAAGGGCCGCGTATGCTGTCGGAGCGTTTCACTAAACGTTGGCTGGCTACACCGCCGTCCGTGAGAGAGAGAGAGAGACCACTACGGGAATGGAATATGGGAAATGGAGTAAGGGGAAGTGGAAGTAGTTTGGGTACGTTATTGGGGCCCCAGTTTCGTTCACGGTGGTCTCAGCTCTGTTCCTGGGGAGACCGGACAGATGGACTGTGCGCGGGCTTTGGGGTTCGCCCCGGCAGGGCCTTAGGGTCTTGCATAGCGCATAGAAGAAGAAGAGAGAACACTATCCAAGAAAGACCACATATTGGGATCATAGCAGCGCGCCCGGAAGCCGCGAGCGGGAAATTCGGAGCATGAACCATTGTGCAATTGAGATGGGCGTGAGACGGTCCTCGCGACTCGGGGAAATTTCAGCATGATTGAAGCATGGGATGGCTACTCGCGACTCGAGAGAAAGCCCAATAGTAGTGAGAATAGTAATCATGATCGTGATACTAATAATAGTAGGGGCAACAGTAGTCAAGTCAAGTCAAGCCTGGTGCCATTCGGAAGCCCATTGAGGGCACAGGCGGATAGAACAGTAACAAACAGAATATTCATGGTGATATCAATAGTAATCATCGTCATAGTAGCCCCAGTAACCAGGCCTTAATTGAAATGCGGCGCACATTCGGGAGGTGAACGCAATGTGCTCAAGATGTCAAGCAAGATCATGTGCTGAACTGGGGCCGCAAAGTGGTCAATAGGTAATCCTGTTCGAATCTTCAATGCAGCCCGTAATGTAATGTAGACCCGCGATTATTAAAACCACTCCTTTTAAGGCCTTAAACGCTGGCGATTAAACAAGTCCAGCAGCAAAAAAAAAGGCCTTAATGTTAGGATCCCTATAACAATCCCTACTAAGGGGAGAGGGTTTATTGACCGTACTGTTACATTACCATGATCCTTGGGAGGAGAGGCCTGGCAGACAGCGGGCGGCATCAATCTTCCCCAAATTTCGTTGTTAGTCTGCAACATGCGCACACGCCTGGCAAATCCCTCCCCCTAATATTGAAAATGCCCACTATACTATAAGACTACAATATACCACAATGGGGAGTATTGAATGTGAGGGTCGGTGGGGGTTTAATATTAGGGACGGAACCTGTAGCCTCCCTTGTGCGAACCCGGTGGAGAGAGGTCTTGTTTAAGACCTGGCCATGTATGATGGCTCACCGCACTGACCCTAACATGCGTAGGCCAAGCAGGTCGCAGTCAATACTAATAATTACTAATACATATGAATCCACCCAGTGCGAGCATCCTAGCATCCCCAGCGGTGGAGCGCAGACTATGTACAATGTCCACTGGATGCAGCGTTTGTAGCACAGCTCTCAATTCTTCTGGGTGGAAAATCTCCACGAAAAGCCGGTAGAGAGAGAAACAGAGAGACAGAGGAAGAAAAAGAAGAGGAGCTGTCATGAACATTGCTCGGGTCCTCGCGGTACCCGACTTGACAACGGACCTTTGCGCTGGCTACCGGGCTCAGCCCTGGCGTACTTCTTTAGGGGTGAGCGTGGCCCATACAAGAAGAAGAGGAAGAGGAAACCAGAGACATCGAGTGCTGCTTTTCCAAATCGGGGTCCGCATGAAGTTGCATGTCGATGATGCTTGTGTGGCTTCAAGTTGCCACTGAGGTGTGTCAAACGTAGTTGTCTTGACATTGTCAATCCACATTGAGCCCAGGAAAACCTCCAGATGCTTTCAAGCTCTACCGTGAGCAGGTAGCGGCCGCTTCCAATTCTTGGATTCCAATTCAGGCTTTCGAGTTCGGTTGATTGCGCTTTGTCGTTCCCGTGGAGCGGAGCAGTGACTATATGGGCTAGAATTGCTGTGAAGCAGGTTGACGCAATGATAATGGTAATAATAACGGTAATGATAATAGTAATAAAGTTCTAAGTATTTTCATAATATTAATAGTAATAATACCAAGAGTAAGAAGAGCAGGTTGAAGTAAGATAACTCAGTTGCCAGGATGGTGCTGGCAAGAAGGCGGCAGATGCCTCTCAGGCTTTCGGTGAGCTCTCAGAGGAGGACAGCTCTCCGGGTTTTGCAATATTATGGTTATTGTTATTATTATGATTATTGTTATTATGACGTTACTATGATCATTATGATTTTTTTTTATATTACTATTATCATTACTGTAATTATTACCATAATTATGCAGTCACCTCAGGCTTACAAAGGCGCAGCTTTCCGGACGAGCTGCCGTTGTGGTATGTTGTGAGGTGTAAGATTTGGCTTTCGATAGAGGATGGCAGAGGTCACAGAGGAGATGTGGAAGATGGCTCGCCGTCCATCTCTCATGGTAATAATATCAGTAATGATAATAGTAATATACTAATAATCATAATAATATTAATAACAATAATCATAATAACAATAATAACAACCATATTCGAGCCGCATCTGCATTGCTCATCATTGCTCGTTTTATAATGGCAGACATTCTTGCACCCTCGCTTCAAATCGGTTCGGCAGGAGACGGCAAAGTTCAAAGAACTTGCCAGCAAGGCTAAGGATGAGTACAAGGCAGGTCCCTATACTGGAGAATCAAATGGAAAAGAAAATGGAAATTGAAATGGAAACCCTATATGGGGATAATGGAAAAGAAAATGGAAACTACTATAGTATAATAGGGTATATATAGGCAGGTCCTGCCCACCTTCTTCCAGATGCATGTTGCTTTGGTCCCAGGAGAAAATGGATGAGTTCAGAAAGTCCGACGAGGGGAAGAAGTATCTGAGAGAAGTGGCAGCCTTCTACAAAAGGCCCCTGAAGGTTATGTATGTTCAGCAGTGTCGGATGTAAGGGCTCGGCCGGATGTGAGGCGGATTCTTGCCCCACAAGATAAGGGTTACCGGCTGATTCCTTTGGGTAGGATATACTCCCACTGCAGTATCTGTTCTCATCTGCGTGTCTAACTGGAGACTTGCTTGTCACCACATTTTTTGGCTGTCATGGCATGGTAGTAATAGGAATAGTAGTAATAAGAAACAGAATAGGAATAGTAATGATAGTAGTAATAATGGTAATGACACAAGGCCATGCTGGCCTTCCTCGTGCCTCCAGTCATGTTCAGCAGTTTAAAGCAGTTAAAATCAGCCGGCAGTTGTCTGATGTGGCATGCCTGAAGGAAGAAGTTTGCCAACGCAAAAGCCAAGTATTTGAAGGATGAGCCTAAGAAGCATGGTGCTGAGACACTTTTGAAAAATCACTGACCCATCAGCGAACTGGAACAATAGACAGAAGCTTCCAGGCCTCCCTCAGCAGTCCAGCTCTTCATTGTTGCGAAGCGTGATGAAGTCGCGAAGGAGAACCCCGATAGGAAGGCCGACTGCTCTTTTCCGTTTAGTAGCTATGTGGCCACGCGGCCACTGTTCTTGCCGACATCAAGCAAGACTCGACGTATGGTACACACAGGAAACCAACCGTTCGCAAGCTGCCCAGGGCTTGCTTCTCAACGCCAAGTGTCATGAGGTCTTCAAAGGACAGGCATGATGTACCTTGTTGCGATAAAGTGTCTATGTTGAAGCTTGGACCGAGACGTGTCTGGAGGACTCCCAGAGGAAGAGAAGCAGGTGTACGTGGATAAAGCAGATGAGAAGCGGAAGGAATACGAAGAGAAAGTTGAGGACTCGCTACTCTGGCTTGAAATGCGGGCTGCGTGAGACTTGCAAGACCCGGTCAGAAGACACCTGTGCCAGGAGTTCAAGCAAACTGCGGATTACAAGAAGTATCTGCAAGTTGTCAAGCCAAAAGCAGCTACAGGCTTCGAAGAGTGCACGAACTCCTGTGGTGATGATATGATAGGCAGAGCCTATGTAAAGCGCAAGACGAAGAGTGGCCAGAAATTAATGTAGTGACAGCAGCCGGCATGCTTGAAAGAGAAAGCTTCATCCGCTGAAGAGTCAGGTAGCAAACAGCCACATCTTACCTGGGCCCCTCTTAGCACCCTAAACCCTAAATAGTAGCTTCCATTTTCCTTTCCATTATCCCAATATGTCCCCTATATAACCCCTATAAAATCCCACCCAGCTTTATACCAGAGTGTTGTCAATCCTGAGGTAAAGGAAAAGGCAAAGCTGCGAAGAAAAAGGACCCCGGGCCAGAAGTTCCCAGCAGCATGCCCAAGAAGCCGAAGACTGCCATGCAGCTCTTCATGATGTCCAACAAGGGCATCTATGGCATCTTGCCCGCAACTCACAGGGTTTACGGTTTAGGGTGCTGCGTACTCTGGTCAGTGAAGTCAGTCAAAGTCAGTTTGGTTGACCTGAGAATGCTTGGAGAGACCTCGGCAAACACCACTACTATGACGATCGCAGGTAGGACTAGTGCTATCGCTGCTGAATGCTTACTGATACTTGCTGCAACAATTATGAGTTGCAGTAATTACAACTCTAACCATTGCAATTTCAACTTGTTTCAAATGTCCTGACCTTACTTGTGGTTAGAAGAGAATAAGACTCCCTCCACAATCCCCACAAAATACATTTTCCTTATTCCCTAGTATAACTCCAAAATATACCCTAGTAAAAACTAGTATATAGTTTCGATTTTCTTTTCCATAATCCCTGTCCAACCCCAATCTCTTCCTTTATTCCCTACTAACCCCACACCCTGAACCCTAAACACTGACCCTGAACCTTGTCTTATATGTGTAAATGTCTGTCTTTCCGCCCTAGACCCTGAACCCTAAACCCTGAACCTTCGACCCCAAAATCCTAACCCCTAAATATACAGGCGGCGGGGGCCTGAAGCAACAGACAGCGGCCTGGACAGAACTGGGTGCAGAGGCAGCCCACGCTAGCCTCCTGGACTAGGGTTTAGGGTTTAGGGTTCAGGTTGCTGTCAAAGAACTTAACTTAAGTTACCGTATTACGCGTATATAGGGTTTCGGGTTTATTCAGGTTACCGTAATATGGGTATATAGTACAGAATAAGGTTTCGTTGTTGTAGTAACTTCAGTTTCCTTAAAACCAACCCCGTAGACTTTCTGGCTGGGATCCTGAGCCTTTTTATCATCACCATAGTGATTCTGATCATTCTTACTGTTGTTATTAATCTTTCTACTGGCTATTATTACTGTTCTTATTATTCTTCATATAATTATTGTTATTGTTGTTGTTATTTTTACACTTGCTATTCTTTTTCTTCTTGTCGGTTTAATATCATTATTATTATTGCCAAACAAGAAACTTGGATGCCAGGGTCAGAAAAAATACACAGAGGAGGCCAAGGAGCTGTCTGAGAAGACGCTTAGCCAAAACAGCCTGTCTGAGCGTGATTGGTTGCATGGTGGTAGGGCCCTACCCTAGACCCTAAACCTTCATTCGCAGACCGTCCCACGAGCGCGCCAAGGTTTGAGAAGGACTGTCCAAGCAACATGGCTCCCGTGGTTGCTCTGTGCCTGTGGAGGGGGTGCAATGAAGCCAGGTAAAGGCTATGGTTTAGGTGGACTGCCCCAGTAAGAGTGACTACATGACGGATAACTGTGATAATATTAGTGTCCTCCTATATTCCTATACCGCCATTACAGTGTGGGGGTCCACCTATGCCTCTCCAGGAGATGCTGGATTTCCGACAGACAGGTGAAGGCGCATCCTGGACTTCCATCCCCCAGCTCCTCTTCTTACTTTCGGTTGGTAATGTCCTATATTCCCTACCATTCCCTACTATCTCCCAGTAAGTCCTTGCTGTTTCCGCGCCGTGCAGGCAAGAAGTATTTCAGACTGAAGGCAGCTGCGGAGAAGAAAGCCCGCTACAAGACTGCAAATGGGGCCTTCAATAGGGTTTAGGGTTTAGGGCTTAGGGTAAAACTATAGTTATTGGTACTTTAATTACCCTTGGCTTTTGAATACCATTATTGCTAGAGTCATCAAGTTTCGCAGGGACCCGGTGAGCTTTCAACATGTTTTATGCAGGAGTAAGCTGTCTGCACCCACCCAAACCATTCCCAAAACCCTAAAAAGACCACAACCCAAAACCCCTGCCTAGGCGTAAACAGTGCGCGGGCGAAGTACTTGGGCCAGGATGATGCGCCCAAGGAGCCCAAACCTGCCCCTGGTCACTTGTCTGTCCAAGAAGCATAGGATGTTTTTTTAGTAACAATCGTAGCAATAAATACTACCAATAATAGTAACAATGGTGATAACAGTATAACAGTTAAAAAAGTAGTAGTAGTAGTAGTAGTAGCAGTGATAAAAGTATGGATAATAGTGATCATAGTAATGATAGTATTAATGCTGATATCATTTCTAAAATGTGTCAAAACTGTAATTTTTGCTTGTCGTCCTTGTCGAGTTGGTCCTGCTTGGCTGTATGCAGAGGTGCGTACCAGCTGTTCGTCCAGGCTGGCTCGCAAGATGCCCTTTGCGTCATAGTGGAACGTTGTTTTTGGCGGGTTTAGCCACATGGTGCTTGTAATCTGCACACCACTGGACAATGGTCCGTGGTTGATCTTGAATGGTTCAGGAGAAGAGACCATCTCTGCAAGCTTCCGGCAAATCCATGACCGACGTCGCAAAGGAGCTGTCCCAGCTGTGGGGTCACATGCCTGCAAAAGTGTTGAACCGGAAACCTTGGGAGGGGGTGCTTTGATCACCAGATCTTCATGACTTGCGCCGAGGCACGTATTCTGAGGATGACAGAAAGCCTTTCGAGCAGCGTGCAGCCGAGCTCAAGGCATGCCTTCTATGAAGAGATCCGGTATAGATCCTACACGCTGCTACGGGCATGTGAGCTGCATGTTCTAAGAATTTAGTGCTGGTAGCATGTGGTCGCATTTTATCACTCTTCCATTGCGCGGCTGCGCCTTCAGCCAAGAGGACTTTCTGACGCTGAAGCATGCGCATTCAGGTCTAAGAGTCTAAGAGCTCAGAAAGGGAGCCTAAAGTAACAACACGTCAGGCAGAGCATGAAGAGAAGATGAAAGAGTACAAGTCGTCAGACGCGTACAAAAAGTGACCTGTCAGCACAGACCTTGAGCTGTATGAGCATGTTTGAAGAGACTGCTGTTTCTGCTTGCTTGTCCACTATTGACTGACTGCTTCTCCCCTGTCCGGGATGAAGCATCATCATGCCGAGGTTTGAGAAGGCACAGAAAGCCATTTTCAAGAAACCCAGAGCCAGGAAGCCAAAGGCCAAGGCGAAGACAAAGACCAAGCCCAAGGCCAAAGCAAAGGTGAAAGCAAAAGCCAAGGCAAAGGCAAGGGCAAAGGCCAGGTGCTGAGGTGCTGATGCACTGAAAAACCGCTAGATTGGCCATTGTCACAGGCGGGCCGTGGCCGTCCGGAAAAGAAGGAGGTTCATCCGCTTCATGTTGATGGTGAAGGGTTCGCCGCTGCAGGTGCTAAATTGCCCCTAGATGTTCCGTCTGTTTTGTGAGGCCAGTGCTAGTGACAGTGACGTGATGGGGAGCGACAGTGACAGCGACAGCAGCAGTAGCAGCGACTCTGACTGAGTCTTCCCGAGCAAGCCATTGGATACCGAAGCTCACAAAGCAAAGCACACAAGTGCTAGACAACTGGCTGCCGGTCAGAAGCCGCAGCACAGCGCTGTCAGAAGTTTGTCTGCAGTAGGCGAGTCCTGGACTCGGGTGAGCTGCCTTACTCCTGGGATGTTTTCGAATAGTATGGACCATAATCCCTCTACAACCTTCTGTTGCCACCCTGCCATCCCCCCACCCCCCGGCCCGTCTGGTATGGGTCCCCTCGTGGTGCTGGTGGTTCTCCACCCCTGCCCCTGTGGTCCCTGTGGTGCTGCGGTTCTCCCCTTTAGTGCCAGCTTACGATAGCCTCAGGCATAAAATGCTTGAGCCTTAATAGAGGTAAGCTCTTGGTCTTACGCAGCAAGTGCCCACATGTGGGCAGAGTGGAGCTTGTAGTCCCCCGAGCAGCCCCATGTGACTGTTTGCACTTTTGAGAGGCGACAGAAACATCACCGTGATTGATGATACTGTTGAAACGCGACAACGGCAAGAAAGCCTAAGAGTGACGACAATTACACGGATCGTGACCCCGGGAGACCCCTCCCCTGTGACAGTTGGCACTTTTCAGTCGCGAAGACCACACGAAGGTCCAAAAGTGATGACAGTTAGAAGGATCGCAACGCCCGGGCACCCCACCCCTGTGACTGTTGGCACTTTTGAGGGCGACGAAAGCACGGGGCGAAAAGTGACAACAGTGACAGTTGGCATTTTTGCGAGGTTCAGGCCGGCAGGGGAGGGACCACATCATGGAAGGGTCTGGGGGGTTTAGGGTCCCCATAACCGGGGTGATAAAGGCTTAATTTTTCCAAGACTCTTGAATCTATCCCAAACTCGCCATGCATCTGCCAAGACGCATTTTCAGTTCATTGGTTCGCTTGGACGGGAGTGCGGTGGGAGTCCAAGGCTCAGAGACTTTGGACATCCTTGTTGCAGCCCTTAACAAAGGGAACCCAGCTCAACAGGGTCCTAGCAGTTGCCGTGTGCAATTGTGTAGCTTAGCTTAATGGTGTTAATCTGATATGTGCTTTGCACAATTTGTAGTTCAGCATTTCAGCTGCTTGTGCTGAGAAAGGAGTGTCCTGAGTATCGTGTTGTGTGGATTTCACAACGTTTTGGAAACATCCAAATCGTTAGGGGAACAGCGGCATCACAGTATCGAGCTGAGATGCGGATCAAAACGAGCAGATCAGGATGCCCTGTCAGGATGCCCTGCACCTGTGTCACCGGGTCATGCTTCACACTTCGGCCAGCTTCGCGAGCTTCGCGAGCTTCGCAAGCCTGATCATGCAATCTTGTTGGGGAGGCCTGGCCCACCAGCGGAGCGTAGGTGCCTCGGTTCACATATGCTTATCAGCTTGTCAACGGTCCAGCACAGTGGGCCTGGACAGCCGTCTCCGAAGCAGCCAGAACTCTTCAATATGCTTGCTGACTTGGCATTCGCTGCAAGTTTGTCTGCCACCGCAGCTGTCTCGGCCCCCCGCGTGATGACCGCGCGTGCCGCGAAGAGGTGCGCAGACTCCGAGTAGCGCTGGGAATTACTCGCTTGGTGATTTTCAATAGCCCCTCTTCAGGGACAGACTCCCTCGTGTATACAAAGCTGCATAGCTGCACAAGCGTCCTGTTTGCTCTTGCATGCCTGGCAGACTTGTTCAAGGATGTCCTGGCAAAGAAGCCGAAGGAGTATTGGGACTATGAGAAGATGATAGTCCCTCATACTGGATCAGGCTCATTAAGATGCTTGCGAGGCTGTGCACATGCTGCAGCAAGGGCCTGCGCCGATGTGAAGGTAGTGCGTGCGCCGAATCGAGTAAGGTCAAATGGGGCAAGCTGGACGACTACGAAGTCACGCAGAAAATCGGGCGGGGCAAATACAGTACCTGTCTCAGCTCAGAACTCTGCGGCTGCTTCTTGGGGAGTCTCTGGAGAGGCTGAGCGCAGCTCCACTGGCATCTGCTTGTTCAGTTTGTATGTCAAGGTGAAGTTTTCACTGGCTTCCACGTGCCCACAAACAAAAAATGTGCCTCCTGTCTAATTTGCCGGGATGGTCCTTCACGAAGGCAATCCCAGCAAGTTGCTGCAAGCCTTCCCGTCAGGTCATCAAGATCCTGAAGCCCGTCAAGAAGAAGAAGATCAAGACCCTTGCTTTTCAAGATGGCAGCTTGCAACGATGCTCTTTTGGCCCTTCCGCGTGGAATTCATGCGGTGAAGCGTTGTGGAGCTGAGGCGTGAAATCAAGATATTGCAAAACGCCTCGCCGACATGTTATGCCATTTGTGTGGGGTGAAAGAATGTCACATGACTTCTGGATGAGAGAACAGCATCAGGAGCTCATCGGATAGTGTTCGGTTAAGAGAATGTATAATACTAATAATAGTGATAATAATGAATACTAATAGTAGTCATGGAGATGGCTGCAAGGCTGGGCATGGCAGGTCAGCAAGGGACCCAACATCGTGGCCTTGCTGGACGTTGTCCGCGACCCACTTACGAAGACACCATGTCTCGTCTTCGAGCATATCAACAATACAGACTGGAAGAAGCTTGCCAGCAGCTTGATGAATCCAGGGGTTGTGGGTTTAGGGTTTAGGGTTTACTGTTACGTCTTGTGTTGGATCAGTGGCCCGAAGCTATGTGGTCGGCTTTGCTTTCAAGGGCTTGAGGCTGGACAAGTCAAGCAGCATCTTCTAATGCCATGCTCCTGTTGCTGAAAGAGCTCAAGGCCATTTGATGTGCCGCGCTAGTGCCTCATTCAAGCGCCCCTGGTTTAATCCCGAAGAAAAGTGCGCAAGCTTCATCGGCATGACTTCAGAGTGTGCTGAGAGAACGGGCCGAACAAGACCTTGCACCTTGTGTCTTCGCAACTGCATTAGCTCCCTTTGTTGCGCCAAGGAGTCTGTACCCCAAGCTTACGCCCTACGATATTAAGTTCTATTTGTACCAGGTCTTGAAGGCGTGCGACAGCCACGAAACTGGACCGCCAGTATGCTTTGCAAGTAGAAAGCAGAGAGGTTGCCCTCAAGCAGGCTAGACAGTGAGGTTGAAAGTTGAGCCTGCAGTCGCAGGCACTTGATTACAGCCATTCACAGGGACTCATGCACCGGGATGCGCCTTGGCTGAGCTAGGGGAGGGATTTGGGTGGTTCACTCTACTGAACCTTTAACCTGAACCATGAATCCCTCAACCCCGAACCTTAACTGCGAGACTTGCAATTGCGAAGTTTGCACGTGTAAGGTGCGCAGGTGCAAGCTTGCAACAGCAAACAGCAGTCAGTACAGAGGACGCAACATGGGGATTTCCCAAAACTGGGGGTACTCTTTTGAGGGTCCCTGTAATAAGGATTATCTTATTTTTGGGTCTATATTGGCGTCCCCTATTTAGGGAAACAACCAGAAAATCTGTATATGGCCCTTTATATAATAGTCTTGGTTTCATGTTCCGTCTGATTCTTCATTATTGGGGGTAGTAACCCTAAACAGTAGCTTCCATTTCATTTTCAGCTTTCTTTTCCATTTGATCCTCCATCACTCAGGTGAAGCCACACAATGTCATGATCGACCATGACAAGCGAGAGGCCTGCTGAACTGCCATCACAAGCCATGCATGTTTGGGGTTACTGGGAGAGAGAGAGAGAGAGAGATATATGGGCATCGCCTGAAAACCC